GATTCTCCAGATCGATAACCATAATTTCGTTTAGCGCCCATTCTCCTGTTCTCCTACTACCAGTTTGTCATTCTCGCGGTCGCCAAGTATGAACGCGGCCTGGTTCCTTTTTACCCTTATTCGGATCCTGAGAAATTATTCTGTATTCTACACATTGCGCAGTGGATCTGTCTATTGACAGACAGCGTCGGATTCTATTCTGACTCCTCATTCCTTATTTTCAGCGCATTACAAAGCACGAAGAGTTCGACAATTATCTTTCTGAACTAACTCCTCCTCAGTCGGACCGCCTTTACTTGCTAGATGTCCTCCGACGGAGGCCACTCACTTGTTCTTAGTTGGGGCGGCGGGCATTGCTAATGCCCCTGGATAATTCTGCTCTCCTTCATTACAGTTTACTCAGTATATACATTCAATCAAACCCATTTCGCGAGGTGAAACGCGTAAAAAACACGAATGGCGCAATTTTCGTGATGCAAAACCACGACGCACAAAGGTGCGCTACCGTAATCACAAATTCAGATCTACCGCGTGTTGATAAAATTCCTTTTTCCTTCCCAGAGTTTTTCCTCTGCGTTTTTGTTGTTTTCTTTTTGTATTCTTTCTTTTGCACTAGATGATATCAACTACTGCGAGATGTGATAGAGATTTGTGAGCTAGGGGCTGCACAGAGACCGCAGGGAGGTGTAACTGTGAGGGAGCGATTTTGTTTATGTTGTTCTGGAGAACGCTTCTTGCCTGTTTTCTTCTTTGGGAGATTACTTATCAGCTGCTGTTTCATAATTGGAAAGCAGCTATCCATGAGACTTTTATCGCGGGAGCTGTCTTTAAAAGGCAGTTGGCACGATAATCGCATAATCGCGTGTAGATTTCTACAATGGCTTAACAGAATTCGTGACCACGGACAGGCCGCTGCGTCGAATCGCTCCTTTCAAGGAGGGTAGCCCCTATAACGCCCATATTGAGCAAACAACTGTTACGTCCCAAACGCCTCAGCCGCGTGTTTACGTCTCAAACCCTTCCTTGCCCGCCCGCCCACAAACGGACGACCGTTTCTGACGCTCGTATTCATTCATTTGCTGAGCAAATTATAAAGCAAAGGGATTGGTATGAAGCGGCGGTGACCGGGGCGGGGGGGGTGGGGGCGGGCGGGTGGGTGGGTCATGATCTGCATGCATAGATGATAAGCACATATGCAGCCGCCGTATCTTCGGTAGGGTGATTGCAAGATGCGTTACGGAAAAACGCCCTATCCGAAAACGCATACAATCACGAAAACAGGGCTTTTCATTCGGCCGATTTTGATCTTTCGCATTCCGTTCTTTTCGCCATTTCCGCCACTCATCCAGCCCATAGCATTTTAGCTAAGTAGTGAAACCATCGTGGCCCCAACTGCCTGGTCATAACTTTACGCTTCTGCGGAAGAGCGTAAAGCTAAAGAAACCAAATACCTGAGATGACTTGGAACTCGCAATGTCGCCCCCACCATTCAATTCGTGATACGCACAGTAGCGCTAACTGTTACTGTAGCGCCACAGTCTGACCATACCGACACGGTGTCTGGCAGTAGACATACAGGCAACAGTCGCAGGATAGACCATCTGGCGTGACCGTGGTGTGCGTATCGCGTATCGAATGATGAAGACATAAACGCGCATAAACGCGACGCGCGCTTTCGAGTTGTTCGAGTGCTGCACTTCTACAGCTGCGAACCTGCGCCACAGGGAAAAGATCTAGCCTCTCGTATAATCGTGCAGCGTGTCTTTAAAGACAGCTCCTGCGATAAAGTGTCATGGATAGTTGATTTTCAATTTATTTATTTATTTATTTACAATGCATCCATAGGACGCGCTACAGCAGAAGTCATGAATTACGTTCATAGCAGAGGTATGAGCAAGAAAGAAAGTAAGTGATGAAAAGAAGAGTTCAATGCAGTTGCTGAATAGGACAAAAAGGAAGAAGAAAGAGAGGAATACTTAGCCAGTTAAGCAGATCTGAGCCCGATTTAAACTGATTGAGCTAGACAATGGAATGCGTTCACAAAATTGCGTGAAGTATAAAGTCATAACCGAACATGTTGGAAGTACTTATTTATCACACCCGCTTGCTTCAGTCATCTGTGATGAGGTGGTGCCATGTTGTTAATTTATCCATTTGTTCAAGGACAAACAAATATCAAATTGAAATTGAGAAAATGGCATAAGACTCTGTAATCAATTATGAAACAGTAGCTGATAAGTAATTCCCCAAAGAAGAAAAAAGCAAGAAGAGTCCTCAAGAACACCATAAACAAAATCGCTCCCTGACAGTCACACCTCCCTGCGGTCTCTGTGCAACCCCTGGCTCACAAATCTCTCTATCACATCTCGCAGTGGATATCATCCAATGCAAAGAAAGAAAAAAAAACAACAAAAACACAGAGGAAAAACTCTTGAAAAGAAAAAGAAACATTTAAAAACTCGGCGTCCGAATTTAGGGTTACGGTAGCGTGCATATTTTAGTGTAGTGAAGTGCGTCGAGCTTTTGCACCACGAAAATTGGTCGCTCGTGATTTTTACGCGTTTTACCTTGCGAGATGGGTTGGGCGCTATTGATTGCCTCCCAATGGCAGAGGCATATTTGCCAACAACTTTTGGCCGGCGCCTAGGTATGTCGTTGCAGCGGACCCTACGCGTCGCCTGAGCTCCGGC